TAACATTTTTTTCACAACTTTTATTAGGTAACATGTTTTTTAACCAATTCAGAAGATTATATAAAAACGTGCTGAATTATTTGGATTGCATTGACTTTATGTGTTAGTATAAACGTGTAACGATTGAATTAATCACTTCTTATTTTCTCATTTTATGAATACTTAAAAGAAAAATTCAATTCAAACAAATTGTTTATTGGATTGAGTGACTAAAAAATATTATCATAAAATCTTGTTATTAGCTTACAAGTGTCATGTTTTAATTTTAAGCTCGTTGAATAATATTGTAGGATAAATCACGTACATTTAAAATATTATCTATTTTATAATATAAAACTCAGTTATAGTTTTTTTCTTAAGAAATATTTTAGAGAATGAAAAGAGAAAAAAAATATTTAAACTGACTTAAATTTTAATTTTTAAACATATTATTGGGTGGAACACATAAATATGATTTGTTTTTGTGTTTTGTTAATTTCTTGAATATGATTTTGACAAATTATTACAATGGGAGAGAAAAAAAATTTATTTTGGAGCGTTACAGAAAATAATGTTTCGTACGTTGTGTATTTTTAGGAAGATAAAATGAATTGAAATTCTCAAATAAATCAAAATTAATTTACACACTAAACTTTTGTAGAAGTATATTTTCCATTTAACTTCGAAAGGTAAAGTGTATGTATACATGTTCATGATAACTTGGAAAATATTAAAAATATCTTACCTTTTATTTAATTTTTTATTTATAAATAAATTGAAAGTATATTCTTAGACATTTTGAAAAGTGGAGAAGTTGAATATCGAATTTAGCAATATTAAATAAAATGTTGGGTATTTATAATACTGTGTCTGACTTTGTTGTTATATTTTTTTTCCAACAAAGAGATGCTGGCCGGCGGCTGTATTAGCTAAGGCTATTTGTACATGTCGTTATCCTTAATTTATCTTTAATTATGTTTTATGTATTAGAATCAAGGTTTAATTAACATCATGATAATAATTATTTTCTTCTGTAAAAATTTAAGAGGTTTATTTGTTGAAAAAAATAGGTGTAAAATTCTCTGTTAACAAAAATATAATACTTTTTTATATTTTTAATTTAATCTAAGTTCATCGTAGTATATTTGTTTGTATCTAAGATGAGAAAATTATACATCTCCGATTGATTATGAGAGGAAGTTGAAGAATTAGAATAGATGAATTAAATAAAGTGTGTTAAAATGTTATTTTCAACACTTTTAAGATTGCGTATACGATAACTAATATTGGTAATGTAACATTTGACTTTGGACGAGAAGCATATTATACTATATTTTCTTATTTGCATGCAACTAATATTTTTATAATAATAATAATAATAATAATAATAATAATAATAATAATAATAATAATGTTCATATTTAGTAAAGTTAACAAGGTCATTTTAGTTAGGATTTACAGAATATAAATAGAACTAATTAAAATGGTCTGGTTTGCAATTTTTCATCAAAGCTAATCAAATCAGTATAGCTAAGAATGATTTGGTTGAATTCAATTGGATTTTATTACAATTACATTTTAAAAATTATTTTAAATCTTAAAATACTTGTAGAATTTTTAAATATTTACAACTCAGTAACCACCATTTAAAATGTTTAAAATTAAATTTTAAAGACTATCAAAATAAAAGTATAATAAATAATAATAATAATAATAATATCAAATAAGCGAAAACAAAATATTTCTAAATCTCTAAAAAACATTAACTTTGAAGTAGTCCATAAAATTTTTTAATTTACATGAATGTCGAGTCTGAAAAAAATTATTTTAGATGATTGAAATTCAAACGTTCACATTATAACATAATTTTCTCTCTCTCCAAAACTTTCAAAAGACAACAACATACATAAGATATAAATTGAATTGAGAATGTTGATGTAGAATCACAAAAATGTGATTGATGGATAATTCATAAAATTGAATAGTAGGTATTATGAGGCAATGATTCAAATGCAAGTTTTACCAATAGACTTAGTCATATAACAAAAACATAAGATAGTAAAAGCCTATCAAGATTTATGTCATTTAGATGAAGATGTTGTAAGAAGTTATTGCATGAGATATATACCAACAAAAACTAAGTTATAAGACAGACAAAATTATTATAATAAGCGTTACGAGTATTTATCTAACTTTCAACTTTATGAGTTTAGTGAAAAAAGACAGTGTGAAATAAATATAAAAAAGTTTATATGTATCAAAATATATGCATAAAAAAAATTATATGAAGCAATTAAAGATATATGTAATTAAAAGTAAGATTTTGAAAATGTACAAAATAAGAATCTAATTAGTAAGATAAACCGTGGCAGCCTGAGCTCGAGAACGAAAATACAAGGACAAAATCTACAACAACCTTATGCAAGTTGCTGTATATTTTTATAGATTGGTTCATTCTCTGAATGATTAAAATAATCCACATTCTTCTTTATCTTCATTTTTCCCATAGTTTACATCACAGCATAATATAATATGAAGCAACCCCAAAACCAAGTCAATTTTTAAATATGATCACAGTTATGTAATTCATCTCTTAAAGCAATCATGGTACACTGAAACAGTGGTCCCAAACAGCGTTTGGCAATTGCCTATTGTTTTCTGTAGTATACTGAATTAGTCAGCAAAATTCTCACGCGTTATTCTGCTATAATAGTGGTACAATGAGACTCAAGCATCTTAAATTATCACACTCAAATGTGTTCTCACTTTGTTTTTTCGTAGTCTTCTTTTTGTCTTTAACACAATCTCACCATGAATCATGTTGCATTTCTCTTCACAATAACGTTTTTTCTTCTTTGTTTTGATGGCAAGGCACAGCAAAATTACTCTGGGAATTCAATTCTCAGCTGCAAGAATGATGACAAAATGGGGCCTTCACCTTCATTCCTTTATACCTGCAATGGCCTCAACAAATCATGCATGGCCTTCTTAATCTTCAAATCAAGGCCTCCTTTTAACACCGTACTCACAGTTTCCAACCTCACATCATCAAACCCAGAAGAGCTTGCAAGAATCAATGGTGTAACTGTGCTCACAGAGTTCCCAACTGGGAAAGAAATGATTGTCCCTCTGAACTGTTCTTGTTTAAGTAGGGACTATTACCAAGCTGAAACTGAATATGTATTGGGGCAATCCCCAACGTATTTCACAGTGGCAAATAATACTTTTCAGGGTTTGACCACTTGTGATTCGCTCATGCGTGCTAATCCATATGGGGAATTTGATTTGCTTCCTGGCATGGAGTTGCACGTGCCACTCAGATGTGCTTGTCCAACAATGCATCAGGTCACGGACGGCACCAAGTATTTGCTGACATACTCGGTGAACTGGGGTGACAACATTACAAGCATTGCTACAAGATTCAGTGTAGCAGCAAGGAATGTGGTTGATGCCAATGGTTTTAACACACCAACAGAATCTCTTTTTCCCTTCACAACTGTTCTGATTCCTTTGCCAAGTGAACCTCTGAGTTCAATGACCAAAGTTGTTAGTGATCCACCAGATATGTCACCTCCTCTTGTTTGCAGCTCCATGAAGTGCAAGTCAAAGAGGAAATTCTACACTGCTATTGCCACCACAGTGGGTTCCATTGTGGTTCTGTGTGCTGTCCTTTATGGGGTTTTTCTGTTCAGAAAGAGATCTGCAAGGTTCGTTAAGAGAGGTGAAGAAGGTGAGAAAGCAAAGAGGTTATCTTCAGATGATATCCGTGGTGAGATAGCAATCATTGAGCATCACTCTAAAGTTTATGAGTTTGAGGAAATAAAGGAGGCCACAGAAATTTTTAGTTCAAAGAATAGAGTTAAAGGTTCAGTGTTTCGTGGGGTATTTGGTGAAGAGAAGAACATACTGGCTGTTAAAAAAATGAGAGGAGATGCATCCAAGGAAGTGAATTTGCTGAAAAGAATCAATCATTTCAACCTGATAAAGCTGCAGGGTTACTGTGAAAACGATGCTTGTTCTTATCTTGTTTATGAGTATATGGAAAATGGCTCTTTGAGAGAATGGCTAAGCAAAAACAGGACTACCGAGCACCAGATTTTGGCAAAGAGGATTTTGATTGCTCTGGATATTGCCAATGGTCTTCAGTATCTTCACAACTTCACGGAACCTTCCTATGTGCACAGGAACATAAACAGTGGAAACATTCTTCTAAACAAAGATCTGAGAGCCAAGATAGCAAATTTCGCACTTGCTGAAGAATCAGAAAGGAAAATAACTTCCAGTTGTGCCTTGTCAGATATGGAGAGTGGTTATATTGCTCCAGAGTATCATGAGGCAGGGATAGTCACCACCAAAATGGACGTTTATGCTTTTGGAGTGGTACTGTTGGAATTGATCACAAGTAAAGATTTTGTTACTATACCAGAAGAGAGAGAAGCAATGCTACATGTAGTCATAGTAAACTTCATTGGAAAGGAGAATGAAGAAGAGAAGGTGAGTTTGTTCGTTGATCCTAGCTTCACTGGAAACAATGAGAAAGTGTGTGCTCTCCAGCTAGTTAAATTAGGTCTAACCTGCTTGATTGAAGAAGCAGAAGAGAGGCCAAGCATGGTAGAGGTAGTCTCTAGCTTATTGAAAATATATGTAAGTTATATGGACCAAATATTACCACTTAGCATCAACAGTAGTCCCAGCATCCACAATAGTCTCAGCATGGAGATGTGAAAATATATACTTTGGCTAGCTGAGATAGAATGTAGAATTCCATTACTTTTGCAATTAATTTGAATATATTATACGTATTTCATGTAAAATTTTAAATTGATTCATTTAAACATACATTACTTAGTCCTCTAGCATCTGTTTTTACCAATCGTTATTCCTTTCCATGGTGGCCACCTGATTTCTTATTAACTGAATAAAACGTAACGAGTAAACAAAAAGATAGCTGAATATAGGTATTGTGAGGAAAGTGATCTTTATTGTTAGTTTTCGGAGATAGCAGAGTTTAAGAGTCTATTCCAAAAAGTAGCAGTGTGATAAATTAGAAAAAAATGTGAATGTAATGAATATACCGCAACAGCATCAATAATTACAAGTACAAAAAATCATCAACTCGTTGAAGCTAATGCCTAAAGCAGACCTTGACCTTGGTTTCTAATAACAGGCCAGGCTTTATATGAAGAAAGAATGAAAAAACAATATGTTAATGGAGTATCTCTGTGTACTTAATATGGAAAAGTCCCCGTCATCTTGATGTGGTGAAGGGTCCTTTGTAGACCATATTTACGCACTGCTTTTTGACCTGCCCTAAACCCATCTCCATAAACAGGGGAAATGTCTGATTCAATCTGGTGTTTGAAGAACTCCCCAAGCTTCCTCTCAAACTGAGGTCTTTTACCCTTTTTAGATGTGTGTGATGCAGATGAGGATGAAGCTGATACAAAGTTGCTGCCTGATGCAGAGCTTAGTTCAGACTCCAACCACATATGAGCCAAAACCTGACAGATACCTTCTTCAACATCTTGACTTAGAGTCCGATAACCTTCATAAACAAACACATATTATAGCATAAATTTGAGAGACAACCCCAACGGAATAACATTGGTTCAATGCTAGGTGATTAATCTTAACTGTTCAAATGAAAAACAGTTTACATGTCGTAACCAAAACAAATACATCCCAATTGCAACAACTTAATGGATAAATCCTAATGAAACAAATTCTCTACAATAAAATAGTACCTTTAAGTCGAAGCCAGGCATGCATCATCTCATGGGCTAGGATCGATCCAGTGAGCAATCTGTCAAAAATAGAATTCATGTGTAAATGATATCAACAGATGAAATCAAAGTTGTAGCCAAAGGAAGGGGAAGGGGTGGGATTTTCTCTCAGAAGATCTATTATTCTAAAAGTCGGGACACTGAGAGCAAAAACCCAAAGAATCTTGCATGCATAGGAGAAATGTTAGATAACTAATAAAAACAAGGCAACGGTTGCTTGGTTGCAGATATTACTTTTGTAGTTAACTTCCTTTTCAAAATTCTAAAAGAACACACGGGTTTCTACTTGAAGCAGTAGAGAATTCACATAAGCAAAACCTATGGATGCCAAGGAGAAGAATGTTACAATTTGCATCTTTTACATTCTTTCATTCTTATTTAGCCATGTTAGTAAAAGGCCCAGGTAAAATACATTGCTTTTGTCTAACATACAAGGCTTGATTGAACTTTTGGTCTATCTACTATCCTCATTTACCAAATTTGCCTCCCCAATTTTTTTTCCTGAGTTTGATCCTTCACTATTGCTCTGTGCCACTGTCAGTCTTAGCGCAGTGCCAAAATTGCACAATCAAAATACTAAGAGAATCAAATTCATAAAACAAAATAGGGGGACTAAATTCACAAATGACAAAGGCACCGAATTGCCATTGGGTCTCTGCAACTAGAAAAATATTACACATGGATCTTTTGCCGACAGTTGTGTTAATCCTTGGGAAATTTTCTTCTCTTCTGGATTTGATACTTTTTAAATTATTTATATGCTCATACGCATTTAGTTTGTCGCCATGTTACAACTTGTTTACCTTGGAAGACCATATAAAATGAGAATAGCTGTCACATCACAATGTGGAGCCATCCTGTATGGCTGTGCTCTTATGTCCATTGCTCCATTTCCTGTCCCAAATCTAGGTCGTCTTGAGAACTGATAAAGTTTACATGCAATGTACCATAGATTGTTAATGGTTCGTTCTAAAGAAATTCTATCGTCTAACCATAAAAATCAATTAGTGTCACCAAAGAAAAAATAACACGAAATCTTACAGTGCTGAGCTCCTCTGAGAGGCAGAGCCCTCTGGTTTCCGGCATGTGATAATGTCCCTGCCCATGATGAAATGGAAAAGCACTGTTTTAATCACGAACTAAGTATGAATTAAAGATTCATAGTTGAAAGCATTTTGACTTGGACAGTATTATTTATTACAAAAATTAGACTTCCAAATATGAATATATTTCTTTTTGTTTCCTTTTTCTCTTCAATTTTCTATATCATGCATGTCAGATTGAATTATTTGACAGACCAAGCATTAAACTTCAAATATGAATATACTTATTTTGTTTCGTTTGCTCTTCAATTTTCAACATCACACATGTCGGGCTGAATTATTTGACAGAGTATGAAGTTAACATATCACAGGAGAAAAACCTCAGTCAGATAGAATTTGCAAAGCTATCAATAGCAATAGCAATAGCAAAAGGCAGTATTTTCCTTTTAATATGAGTTGTGTAGATAGTGCCAAACATCCAAAAAATAGTTCCAAGTATGTCGGATAAAGGAATGTCGTTATAATTAAATCATGTTACTATATTTACTGCACACAGATGACAATGCATTTTCTCTTACATTCTTATCTCCCTCTCTTGCTTCATTCAGTGCTTGTCTTTCAACCAATAGTAGTGGAATTTGCTGATCCAGTTTCATATTTAGGCTTTCATAAAATCTTCGTATATCAGCATAAAGGGGTTGGCATTCATTTGTATCCATGATAGCAGAATCCAGACACTCTAAACAGAGCTTCCGGCCATCCTTAAGCGCAATATATCCTGCCTCTTGCGACTGAAAATGAAGAGAGAAGATTTTCAGTACGCTCTTTTTATTTTGCACCATAGAAGTTCATCCACTTCTCCCCAGGCAAGCTTATATCAGATAAATATAATCCATCCATACTAACCTCCATTCGCTCACAACTGCAACATCGTGGAGTACAGTCATGTTCATGAGAAGGGCAATATTTCTGGACCCAGAATGGATGTGCCCTATATTCAATAAGACCAGCAGGATTTGTTGGAATCTGTGAAAATATATATTACCAAAAATCAACAGCAACAGGCAATGAGATATGAGGCCAAAGTAAAGGTAAAAACTTACAAGAAAGTCATTTTTAGTTCTAACAAGAAAATCAAACTGATAAAATCATGAATGACTCAAACAATGTCTACAAGTTTGGATGAACAAGGTGATCAATCAACAATGGTCAATCCAGTAAGAAGGTTGTGCAGTAAGAATGTCATTGCCACAATGGTTGAACATGGTGAAAAGCTATGCTTGTATTAGCTATGTTGAAGTTTTTGTAAAAGGCTGGTTTGTGAACTGGGCACCAATGAGAATCCTGTGCAAGTATTTTGGTTCAGGGCATGAAATGGGGGATGAGGTGTTGGGACAAGTCCTTGAGGTGATGGCAGTCACTGAAAGGAGAGGTGTTGTTAAATTGAGACCAAAGGAGACATTGCGGGTGATGGGCAATTTTGTGGTTTCTGCAGGGAGAGTAAGAACCATTTGGCAGATATACTGATCGATAGTCATGGGTACAGGGAGTGGTTCCCAGTAAAAGAAGTTGGACATGGTTGGGGCTTTTGTGATTGAGTGGTTGAAAGTCTGATGGGGGTAATGGTTGACACAAATTTGAGAATGGTTTGGTCAAATGATTTGGTGTTGTTTAGTCTTTAGATGCTGATCCACAAAACATGTATTGCTGTTGTTATTCCTATAAGAAGTTTACAGCCAGAACTTTAGTATCTTGCTTGTGGGGATGAAGGTGTACATGAACATGTGTATGCAGATAGGTGATGCTGAGTGCAAAGAAGATGTGAGAGAGTGATGCTGTGTAAGGGAGTTGTGTTCTCAGTGAAAGGATAAAAAAGAACATGGGTGTGGACAGCATAGGAGAATTGGATTTTTTTAATCAAAGGTAGCTAAGGGGTGTTATTGGGGTAACAACTAACAAGTGATAGGTCAAAAATAGCAATGGTGTGCATGTCATTATATAAGTAAATCTAAGGAGTACTGAGTGCATTTTTCACTAAAGCTTGTTCAAAATACTTACAAAGTGCTTGCAGACATCACATTTCGGGTGGTAGCTTTCCTTATAACATGATTTATGGTAAGGGTAATTCCCAGATGTGGAGAACTGCAATAATAATAAGCAAAAACAAAACTGTAAGTCAAGAATGAAAACCATTTATGAAAATAGAAAAAACAAGTAATGTGGCAGGTAAATGGAAATTTTAGCACCTCATAATCAGAGATTGGTAGGTTGCAAGCTCGGCAGCGGAAGCATTCAGGATGCCAGAATGCGTTCAAGCAATTAAGATATCGCCCATAACCAATCTCAGTATAGCAGCCAGCACAAATCCTATTATGTAAATAACTACACAACTTTAGTTATCTGCATAACATTATTGATATTATGAAGGTATAGAAAATTGAAAGAAGAGAATAATTTCAACAACTGAAAATAAACGGGATGATACTGGGATAGATGTTTTCTCCTTTATCATTGAGCATGATGGTCTATAGGTAAGAAAACACTCTCTTACACACTTTCTTATTGGTTAAAATTTACTGAAAATACAAAGTCAAGTGCGAGCCATTAAATAAGTTCTGAAACACACCAATTTTGTGATTTTAAATAAATTTCAATCAGTAAGAGTGTTCAAAAGAATGTGTTCCTAACACCTAACAGATAATCATATCACTTCTTTGCAAGTGGATTTCATAGGTACTTGAGGATATTTGGTACTAATTCATCCCATAATAATATGGAGTCTAGTAATGTATATTATAATATTAATATTTAGCTGTAAATTAGTCCAAATGCAGCAGTTTCACTAAACTAATGCATCTTTATGATATGTTTCGAACAAGGTATTTATTTAAGGAGGAGGAAAAGGATGAGATCAAGGTATGCAGACTACCACCAAACCCAGTTAGATAAACCACTCTTACCAAAAATATTGGTAATGAAATGACTAATTAGTCATAGCAATATCAGTTAATAAGTATTTCAAAAAGACCAGCACAAATAAGTGAAATTACAAGAAAAATATGTTGATCACCAACTAAGGGATAAATATTTGTCAAAATAGAGAATTTCAATCAAGCAGTGGCAGTATATGTCAATGTGAGAATTTATAGAACCAGGACTTGTGACCCTACGGCAAATGGTGAATAGACAAATGAAGATGATTCTTTTAACATATGAATCGAAGTAATCAAACAAAAGAAGTGCTGAATTATGATACCAACTTCGTACATTGTTATTATCCAACATCTAACTCGTACCTGGACCCCATGGGGAAATACTGAATTGGTTGATACGCATTTTCATTTCCATATCTGGGAGGAGACTCCACGTTTAGACTTTCTTCTAAAGCTCTGGCAAGTTGTTCATCTTCTTCTAACTGTGATCTGTTGTCTACAGAACAGACAGAGGCTTGTAGATGTGAAACGGTAATATATTTTATAATAAGGAAATACACTTTAGAAAAGATTATCTACACAAAAATAAAGTTACTATAAGTTATAAGTGTAATATATATTTAAAAAGATAGATACAAAAAAAAAACTGTGCAAAATTAGTCAATCTTCAACACAGTAGTAATTGGTACATAATTAAGTTAGCACATTATCGAAAGTGAAGCTACCAACTATGCTAAGCCACAATTTAAAACACCAAACTGCACACAATGCGTTCAAAGACGTGGCATCCACATTTACAATCACATTTAAATAAGACATTGAACAGAAAGCAAGAACTTTTTTCATTTACCAAATGATCTGATCACAGATTTCACATAAAAATTCTCACAGCAACAAAATGAAGACAAAGGGGGGGCAGCGGAAAAAACACTATCGAAAACTCGAAAAATAGCAGCACGGGCATTCCAAATTTGGCACTTGGCAAAATTGCATTAGTCCACAGCAAACTGTTCCTTAGAAAGTAAACATCAAACAAATGCACTGGCAAACACTTGGCTCGTTCAGCACCAAATCAAGAATACTCAATGATGTCTTAGGAGCTGAAATCACTCACCATTTACATTGTGTGTTCGCTCGCTCTCTTCCACCAACGACAGTGCAATAGCACGATCTATATCCTCATTCTCGTTCTGATTCCAAACATCCTGCAATCCAAACAAACTCTTAGTCCTGTAAGGAGGACAAAACAGTAACTTTCAAAACCTTTCGTTGATTAGAATGTTAGAATGCTGACATTTGTTGTTACCCCCGAAGTCGATGGCAAATAATAACCAGCATCCTCTTTACTATAATGTCCCTCCGATATCTTCTGCTCAGACCCTTTGAAAATTCTGCTAAGCCAACCCATCCACTCACTCAAAAAAGAATCACTACAACTTCATACAAAGAACAAAAAATTTCCTTCCTGCGCATATTGCAAAACAAGACCAAATTATATATATATATATAAAAAAAAGCTAAATACATAAAAAAACAAACAATCATAATTACTGCCAGCTGCAAAACCCCGAATTTCAAGTGTGCGTGGATTCACCTTTTAACAAATGGCGGAAGAATCAAGACTGAATTGAAGAAAACAAGTGTGTGATGATCTAATAAATCAACAGGTATGTAATTACAACAATATGGCTCTTTTCTGTAGAAAGAAGATAAAAAAAAACTCGCTTTTTTGGGTGCGTGTTAAGGGAAAGAAGCTGGCAGGAAAAAGTGGAACGATTCAAAAACGAGTTGGAAGGCGAAGAGTGAAGATGATTGACATTTGCAAGGATTGATTGAAGGATTGAAAGGAGAAGAAAGTGGAAGCGCACGCACGCAGACGATTTGAAAGTCAAATTAGAAGAAAGAAACGTGGAAGCGTTTTTGGGGGCTGAAGAAAAAATCGAGAAAGAAAAATAATTTGAAGTAATTAACACAAAAGTGATAAACCCTTATGATGAGGAAGGATCAAGGAAAATAAAGATGAAGATGGGTTTGAAATTGGTGTGAATGTGTTTCGTGTTTGCTTGTGCGCCTGGTGGGGTCCACCTTCTTCTTCTTCTTCTTCCCCTCTCCTCAAGGAGACCCCAAAGGTGAAGAAAAAAGGCACAAACAAAAAAAACAAAGGCAAAAGATTTTTCTTTATGATGGAATAAAGAGAGGAGAAGGACGATGAAGAACAGAGTTTTATTGTTTTTGTTGGATTGTAATTAGTTAATTCATTTTATTTAATTAATTAATTAATAAATTAATTAATTAGTGTTTATCGTTGATTGCGTTGTTGTGGGGATTCATGCGTTGAGTAGAGTACGCGGTTGGTTTGGTAGAAAGAGAGGGAAAATATTCCCTGGCGCACACGCACACGAGATTCATGCGGATGCGGGGATTACTTTTAGATCAAGTTTAAATTCATTGATTTCGTTAATCATTTAAATAAACCCTTGAATTCCAAAGAATGGATTTTGAGATTTTCTTTTTTAGTGGACAAAAATTATGAATATTTATATTTCAAACCTAAAAAATTATGTTATGTCTTTTCATGAATATTTTTCTATCTTTAATTAGTGGAAACACAGTGTGTCTAATCTTTTTCTTTATTCTAGTACAATTGTATTAAACTATAAAATAACTTTTAATAAAATTTATTATAAAAATAAACAATTTCTATCATTTTTGTAATTAATTTTTTTTTCTTACTAATAATTATTTGAATTGAAAAAATTAGATCTTAAAAATGATAAAATAGTAAGATAATTATTTTAATTTAAAAAATACTTAAATTTAAATTAATGATTATTTAAAAAAATGATAATGTAATTGTTTTAATTTAAAATAGAAATTACTTAAAAGATAAAATTGAAAAAGAAAAGTATATACAATGAAACAAATCCCATTGTATATAAATATAAACAGATATAGGTACAGATAATTTAAATTTAAAAAATGGTTACCAAAGGATATAATCGGAAAAAAAATGTCAAAAAAAATCTTATTTGTATAAAAATAGTATAGATTATTTTATTGTGTTTGAAAAACATAATTAGATACCCAAATTAATATACCATTAATTTAATTATTTTTAACCTTAACTCATATTCAAATTAATATTAAGATAAGACATGTGTTAATGAGACATAGGTAATATGTTGGGTTGATTTGACAATATAATTAATGTTGTTTGTACCTTTTGTTACATGTTATATATAGATTTAGTGACGTGACTATTTTATGTCGCGTATTTTAACTGTATAATTTTTTAATTATAATAGTGAAAGAAAGACGGTTACGTAAAATTACACAGTTTACTCGTAGTTAACTTTCTCACTGTAGGATTTAAACAATTTATATAATTTTGACATGTGTTATAAGTGTAAAGTATATATGATTAGCTTCTGGTAAGAAATTTTATAATATATCTTTGAAAAAATATAAAAAATTGTAATTACAAAATTTACATGCTATTGCAGTAAAATCCTATAATGAAAAAGAAGCATTGTTCTTCGATTTTTCAAAGACAAAGAATAAGTCATTTCATTCGCAACCTTAAGACATTGAAAAGGTTTATTAAAGTGGATTAAAAAATATTTTCTAATAAATAATCCTAAATTTTAGCAAAATATTTAGAGTTTTCTTTATCGAAAAGATAAGAATGTGATAGAATAATTTAATTTAACTTATTATTTAGTGCATGCCACATAACAAATTATATATTTTTTAATATATATGTATATTAAAAAGATGAAATAGATAACCAATATTATACCTAAGATCTAAATTTTGTTTAAGATGAATGTTAAATGAATACAAATTTAAAAATATATAAATAAAAATTATATATTTTCTTGTTGTATTCTAAAATTTTAAATCTATAAAATTTTGTTATTTGATTGTTAAGAAGATATATGGTTGTAATAAAAATTGGTGGTTTGGATTTTGGAACTCAATTGGATTATTGGGTGTGTTAAGGAAGTTTTGTTACTCAGGCATTTTTAATTAAGTAATAAGAGTTAATATTATACATATTTAATGGATTAATTTTTTAGGTTGGTATAGCCAGGAGCAAGGGATACGATGATCCCCAATTTTTTTTTATATTTTTTTGCATATAATAATGAGACTTAAATGAGGAAAATTTTCAAATTATTTAATAAGATCATTAAATTTTAATAAATGATAAAACATTGTGCCATGTGGGTTGGTTCCTAGACTCATGGGTCCGAATCAAATGTAATGTGACTAATAAAAAAAATTAGTCTACATTTTTTATACAAAATAATAGATCAAATGTATGACAAACAAAAATAAGATTGGTTTACCTAAGTAGTCATTCCAAATAAAATCTTATTTTCATAGTATAATTTTTTATATACGAGTTTTTATATAAGCAAAAAAGTGTTTGAAATATAAGAATTTAGATAATTACTTATTTTTTAAGTTTCGATATTTTAAATTACTTAATTGTTTCCATTTTTTAAATAATTTTCTAGGAAGTGAAATCTTATGTATTATGTATAATGTGTATATATCTTAGTTATCGTTTAATATTAACAATATTTTAAACAATAAAACATTATAAAGTTATTGCGGGTAAAAATCTTAAATTCATTGGTTTATTATATCTTATTATCATAAATATTAAATTCACAAAGTATAATTTAATATCTTATAATCATAAATCTTGAATTCATTGGTTTATTATATCTTAAGATTTGTTTTTTATAAATAGCCCAATGTCTAGCAATTTGTGAATAATGTTAAATCCTCCTTCAAATATTTGTTAATGAAAAAAAAAAAAGAATGCTGCAAGCAGATTTGCAATATTGCCACTGAATTAAATAAACTTAAAAAAATTAACCTGAAAAAAACTTGGCTAACTTAGTTTAATGTAGACTACTTAAAAGGTAGGACATAAATAACTAGTAATAGACCCTAACTTTACAAATACAGAAATTCATTTCATAATTTTTATTTGTAGAAATAAGTTGCTTAAATGTATACAGATAATATTTACTTTTTCCTTTAAATTAATGACGATTTTTGTAGACCCTCGTTGTCACTATCCATGCACCAATGGTTAAAGATAAGAGAACTTGATAAAAGAAATAATCAAATATTTATTTATTATTATTTATATATAACACTATTTAACACACAATAGTAACATTAAATTTACTTGAAGAACACAGCCGATTCTTCAACACGAAAACCGATTCAAAAATTCGAGAAGAAATAATTCAAATAGAAATAAATTGTGTGGTATGATAGGTCAATTTCAACATTGGTGGCTTTAGGTGGTAATTGCTCAACCAATCAAAAACACATCACAGAACAGTCAAAGCTCAATAACCGACCAGAAAAAGACTTATGTGTCCATATATGCTCCATTTCTAAATCCACTAACCTACAAATTCACAATTTTCTTTCTTTTTTTTTCTTCTTTCTCTTTCTTTATATATATTTTGTTGACCGATTAACAGAGCCTAGGAGCATATAAGAATAAATTACACTAACAATTTCTGAGTTTTTTTTTTTATAGAACTACATTTAATGTTTTACAACAATTATGAATGTTTTATGAAATTATATAATGTTTTTTCTTTAAAGGGAGATCTACGTGATTAAATAAAAAAAATTGAATAATAATACATAAATTGTTTCAGTATGTAAATGTATAAGGTTGAGAAAACTCAAACGATGGATACCTGTTAAAGGTATTCCGATGCTCAAGTAAGCTTTCGATTAACCAATAGCAAATGTAATTAAGTATTTCAATTCAATCAATTCAACTTTTATCTTTTTAAATTCCTCAAAATTTATAGGCTTCATCATGGATCTTTGATTAAAATAGACCAAATATGATTCAATTGTAGCTCAATATCACTTAAACCCGCTTTTAGTAGCTTAATCTCATAATTAGCAAAATGAACCGAAGAGTCTGAAAACTATATTTGACCGTTTAGTTAATACAATACACACTTCTTCTAAGTTGCTTTATCAGGTTACATACCGATCAAATTCATACCGTACATAAATGAATATAAATTTTTTTTATTGCAAATTGGATTTATATTACAACAAATTGTTTAATATGATATTAAAATTATTAGTTTAGAATGTATTTTAACGGGATTTAATATTTTTTGGATTTATTATATCATTTGTTATTGATAAATAAGAACTAAATGTTAGTGTACATTTACAAGAAAACACTGATATAATTTCATAAACATTGAGATGGTATATATAGAGAAAGGAGGGAAAAAAACTATACATTAATGATTTAGAGCACTGTCATGGAATTACAAATGATTATATATGTAATAAACATTTGCTGATGAAGGATGAAGTTGCATATAAGAATTAAATACGAAAGAAAGAATGATTCTAGTGTCTTGTTTGGCAATGACTAGGTTTTTGTTGGAATTTGACGAAGTCTTAAGCAGAGATGTGCCTTTACTGGTTTATGGTCAGAACCGTATATTTTATCAATGGACTCGTATGAATGCAGACTTGCTTCCATCTTATTTTCGTCTTCTATCTTGTACAATATACGATCTGTCCACGCTGGCACTCGTACCTGAGACAAATAATACATTACGTTGCTCATACGTATTTTGAACCGCTCGTATAATTAATATAATTCATTTTAAGTAGAACGCTAGATATCATTTGTAGAAAAACCTATTTGGTTGAAGACCAAATAAAATCATTAAAAAAATGTCACTCCCTCAAGTTTTTCACAACTCTTTTTCATTACAATATTTTATAATAATATAGTATTTGTAATGTTTTAGTCCATTAATAATATTTTGACAAATAATCATAAGTAATATAAATATTGTGAATATATTATTATTATTCTTCAAATAGGTTAACAAAGTAACAATAAAAGAAAGAAAAAAACATTATTAGTAAAACATAAGTTATTTTAATTTAGTTCATCCTCTCCTTGTCATCATATATAATAATATGATCGTTTGTGTTTAAATTTGTTTATTTACATCAACTAAAAAATAAAAATATGATAACTTTGTAGCTTATAGTGAAAAAATAAATAAATTAAATTTAAATTACTTATTAATAGGATATTAAAACTTATATTAAGAAGGTTACCTTTTATTGTATATTTTGGATCCACCATAAATATCTATCTAGTGTATGAAATGCTAT